GCTGCAAGGCCAGAGCTATAGACAAAACAAAACTCACAAAACTCGCAGCTTTTAGACTGTAAATTGGGTCACAGTTTAACTTAATAATACTTTTACAGCCTAATTCCTAATTTTTTTTTAGACGAAGTCTACAATCATTAATCACTTTTAACAGATTCTAATTTAAATGTTTGAAAAACGGCTTTTGTAACTAAAATAAAAACATAAAAAAATTCTCACTAACAGCTATGAAATATCAGATACAATAATGGACTCACAAAATAAGCAGCAGATTTAAAAGAATGGAATCTAGAAATATGTTAGGTCTAAAAAGAATTGCACAGCTTTTAGCACTAATATTTGGGTTTCAAAAAACATATAATATTCAAAACTTATATTTACTAATGGTGTTTAAAAACGTTTAACTGTGTCTAACACAATGTTCAATTGCAAATTTAGCAAATTTAACGGAATAACAACTATGAAAAGCCTAAATCCTAAAAGCAGTAGCTTTGCTTCAGATTCAGAGCCAGAGCAGCGAAGGTGGGGGCCGTTTCCCTGACAACGGCAGCAGATAGAGATGTGCACACACAGGCAAAAAGATACAGAAGAATAACTTTCAAGATTACTTTGTTAAGCGAATATAACTGATGTTGTTCTTTATACTTTTGTCATCCAAATCTAGAAGTGATCACTTTCCACACTAGTAACAAAAGGCACTCTTGTCTTTAACGTTTACGCTTCTATTTTATCGAGGTAGCAAACTAATTTAAACTTAAAATCTCTTTCTAAAAAACAAAAACAACTGTTGGATACAACCCTCTCATAGCTCAACTGTAGATAAAACTCTGCATTCTCCGGTGAACTCTGTTCACGCCAAAAACAAAAACTCCCTTTTTCTGTATGTAATTTAAACCGTGATCACTGAAATATTGTTGCTTCTTTACTTTTGTCATTTATCAGCCTGAAATTCGTCAATTTCAAAGCTTTTGTAACAAAGGCCTCTTTAACACATTTCCCTTTTTATTGAATTGCTTTTAATTTTACACCATGGTTTCACTTAGGATCCTGCTCCAAGGGACTCAAACCCTGAGACTGTGTGTCTCCAAGGGATTTAAACCCTGAGACTGCTCCAAGGGACATAAACCCTGAGACTGCTCCAAGGGACATAAACCCTGAGACTGCTCCAAGGGACTTAAACCCTGAGACTGCTCCAAGGGACATAAACCCTGAGACTGCTCCAAGGGACTTAAACCCTGAGACTGCTCCAAGGGACATAAACCCTGAGACTGCTCCAAGGGACATAAACCCTGAGACTGCTCCAAGGGACATAAACCCTGAGACTGCTCCAAGGGACTTAAACCCTGAGACTGCTCCAAGGGACTTAAACCCTGAGACTATTTCTTTCAATACAATTTAGAGAGTTTGACAGACCCCAAAAACAGACCAAAATTTAGCTAATATCCAATTATGCAGACTTTACATATTAAAAAAAAGGTGTCTGCTTACCTTAATTCTTTTCAAACAGGTACCAAGGACTGTCCGAGAGGTCTGCCAACATCTTTTCCGCGTCGGAATATTCAATTTAAACACAAAACAGAGAAAGTGAGGGAGCAAGAGCAAGCCCATCCAAAAGCGAGCCCTTTCAGCGTCCACTGGGATTTCTCCCCTTCCAGATAACGTGCTGTTGCTCCCACACGCCGAAAAAAAAGAAACAGAGAAAACTCCCTCAAAACAATCCAGAGAATGGCACACACTGAGCCGCGCATTCTCCACCAAATCTGTCGGGGATTAAGCAGACAGAGACGGATCGTGGTGTGCCAAACTCTGGAAGTTTATTTAAGTTTCTCTCAAGTTCCACTGGTTTCCTCTGTTTCTTTCTCTCCGACAGAATAAAGGCAGTACACAGTTTATATAGTCATTGTCACGTCACACATCGAAAGACATACGTGTCACAAAGAGACAGTCACATCAGAGTCATAACATGGAGTCCTTGTAGAGTCCTTGTAGAGTCCTGCACGTAGGCCATATTGCTATCTAATACTAATAGCAGGCTCAAGATTAGATTAGCTTTTGATTAGTATCTATTATTCATTATTGCATTTTATATATTATCTTTTAGACACATTTTATGTTGTAGTTTTATCACTTTTATTACTATATGTATTATGATAGCTTCCTTTTTTTAGTCTCATATTTTAGTGTTTTGCTTTGTTTTTTTAAATTGTTTTTAGTATCCCCAGTGTTTCCTCTGCAGGAGCCCTCTGCACTGGGAGCAGTGGTCAGTTGTGGCTGTGGGTGACCTGGTGGGGACCTCTGCTACGTGTCTCCTCTGGGTCCTTTGTCGTCCCCTTGTAGCTACGGGCGGCTCTCTGCTCCTGGTGCAGACAGCTCCTTGGATGGCGCTTCTTCAGCTGGTTGCATTTGCACCCTGCCAAGTCTTTCTTCATGGTTTTACTAGTCTGTCTGTGTGTGTGTGTGTTAGTAGGATTAGATAGCTATATAACCTACCAGGTGTACAAACACAAGACTCTACAAGGACTCTGATTGTGTATCCATGTTATGACTATAATATGCTCTGAGTGTCTTTGGATGTGACACGAGTGTCTTTTGATGTGTGACTTAACAATGACTATAAAAACCATTTGCTGAGTTTTCTTTGTCTGAAAGAATTGAAAGAATTGAAACCACTGGAACCTGAGGGAAGCCTAAATAAACTTCCAGAGCTTTGGTGCCCCACGATCCGTCTCTATCTGTTTCATTCCTGACAGTGTGTGTGTGTGTGCGCGCGCATTTGTATGCTTCTGCTCATGCGTGCGTTCTTAATAATACATGTGGTTTGGGGTGGGTCTGTTGGGTGGTCGGGAGGAGGGGTCGGAGTATTGTTTTTAATCACACTGTAAAGCACTTTGTGTTGCATCTTTTGCACGAAAAGCGCTTTATCAATAAAATTTGATTGATTGATTAGACTTCTTCCATCTATCGTCACCCATCTCCTGTTTATGTAAAAACTCTGGCATCAAGTAAAAAAGAAGGCACTTCACCACTGGGACATGGCACAAATAAGAGCATAACAGAACACACTTGACCTCACAGTCTAACTATATTTACTTTATGAAAAGGCCTTCGCCATCTGAAAATATGTATTTATAAAGGACTTGTTGGAAAACTGCCTTATAATCCAACTGTTTGATGAACTGGAACACAAACATTTATGGCTTAGCATGTGTAGTTTTGGGTATTGCATGTTCTCGTTGTGTCTTTGTAGGTTTCCCCCGGGTGCTCCGGTTTCCCCTACCACTAAATAGGTAAAATCCTCCAGCTCTGGTAATCTTGATCAAGCCGAGCACCAACATCTAGAGATGGGTCCCTGGGCGCCAATGGCAACTGCTGCTCTTGATAAAGGCCCTGGCGACATTTGCAGGAGGGGTCAAATGCAGAGGACACATTTAGGGAAAATAAGGTGCACATTTCACTATTCATTGGTTTTTATGATACCGCAGATATCAGTACAGTGGCTCAGCTTGGAGAGCATTGGGCTTAGGACCTAATGGTTACACATGTCACAGATCCCACTGATGTGGTCTGTCATTGTTTCTGCATTTTCCCTGTCCATTATGTGCTTTTCCCTTTTGCAGTGGTCAGATGATGCTCATATCAAGTTTTCCTGTGTTGCTTTTTCCTTGGTTGATCTTGTTAGTTGCGTTTCTAAGCCTTAAACTAAAACTAAAACAAAGACACAATACACTTTTTACATTTGTACTGTTGTTGTGTGCCTGGGCAAGACACTTAACCCCACTCTGCTTAAAGTCCATCCCTGAAAGACCAAGGCCTGGACCCAGCAGTGAGGGGCTGGAGAACAGAGAATTGAGTGGTATAGCTCTGATTTCTGGGTTTGAAATGGACTAAGGTGATGAAAATGAATGAAAGAATGACTGAATGAACATTTCACAGACTATATAGACTTTTCAACGGCTGATATTAATCCAGAATGTCAAAGTGTTATAACTTTTATTCGAGCCAAGTTGTCAATTGAACATTTGCAACAAGGCCTATTAAGATTAGTATTGAGATTGATGATGAAAAAGTTGGTCCTATTCAACTAAATGGCAAATGAAAAAAAAAATAACCACAGAACTTCCTTGTACTTGCCACGTCGGCAAATTAATTGAGCTTCAACCTTCACATAACCATAACATGAAATGGAAAAACACTGGCTTCTTTGCCCATGAGTAATTGCCATCTGCAGACTTGTAATGACTAGCTCAGTTTTTCTATAATAATAGGACAAAACAGCTTATGTCTAATAATGATCCATACTAGTTCAAACAGCTCATGAAAAAGAGCCTGGTGTCATAATGGAGCTCTCTCTGAAGGCTTTAGATAAAGAAAAAAAAAGACTGTTGCTATAGATTTGTAAGCACATGGTCAAAATTAAGTTCTAAATTCAGACTATTTGTGTGTTTTTTCTGTGCATCTTGTTTGTCCAATATTGTGCATAGACCTCTCAGACAGGCTCTGGATCTGCTCATGCTATACAATAGTGATTGTGTTCATTGATTTAGACATAAATGGACATAAATGAGTTTTGTGTGACCGATAGAGTTCTTTTCAATGTTTTCTAAATCCTTTCAAAAAAGGAATGCCCTGTGGATTTGATTCAACAAATACACAGGAGTTGGGTACTAGTTAGTAATTACATTCTTGTTTTCAATGTTACTAATTGATGGCTTTATGGATATTGCTGGGAATTGGAGAGTGACTTTATTTTATTTATGTACTTGTCTTGCGCACACTGGGGACTTACCGAGGACGGATGTATCCCAATGTGATTTCACTGCAAATGGTAAATAAATGAATCTGAATCCGGAAAAAGAATGATAAGATATCAACAATTTCCTGTTTCATTTGTTGAAGGTTTGTTTATTGCTTATCTTTTTACGTTATTTTTATGAACATCATGGAGGAATTATGAAGAAGAAGACTTGAGCTGGACCAACTGTTGTAGAAGGCAGGGACACATGGCAGACGGATATGTGTTCGAACGGTTTGAGTTTCTGATCTGTTGTTGAATAATTCACAACTCTCTAAAGTTCTCCGCGACAATTGTGATTTAGGGCAGTACACAAGTAGATGTAAATGAATTGAATGTATTGTTTGACCACCTTTATTTGGGTTCTATTCAGCATAGTCCGAGTCTCTGAGGCATATGGTGAACTAAATTTGTAAGGCTAACAACACAGAGCTACTGTGAAGCATGTAGGCTGTAGGGGGTAACCAAAGAACCTCTAAAAAAAAAAAACAAAAAAATTAAAAACACAGAAAAAGTTAGCTACGGGAGAAATGAGGAAGTGAGTTGTTCTCAGTAATTATTTGGTAAAATATTACATATAGAAAAGTCCATGTGCTGCTCTTTGTGTGGTTGCATTAAATCAACTGTGTCCTATAGTAAGTTTATTATTACAGCAGGCACTATATAGTGGGCGACAGCAGCTCAGTTGGTAGAGCATTGGCCTTTGAGCCTGAAGGTCGTGGGTTCAAGCCCACCGTAAGACCTACTTCACGACTCCCACTGATGACTGCTGTCGTTGTGTCCATGGGGAAGACACTTAACCCCACTTTGCCTGATGGATGGACAGGCACTATATGTCTAAGCCTTTTGCTGAAACTTTAATTTATTACCTTAATCCAAATAAAGAAACTAAACATTACATTTTCACTGGGAAATCCTTTCTTTCTCCAGGCAATTTTAGGAACTCTGGCTGTGCCCTGCTGTGCGCTCATAGGTCTGTCCCTAAAAGGGCCAACACAAATAGTCTGGAGAGGTGTCCTTGGCAAGGGTGAGCAAACAGTCCAGGACGCGATGTGCTGTCACTCTATGGAAGGGGGGGGGGGGGGGGGGGGGGGGGGGGGGGGGGGGGGGGGGGGGTTGTCATGATAGGTATGACAAACCTATCATACAAAACCTAAGCAAGATTAGGTTAAAAATAGAAATAATCGCTCAACAAAAACATGACCCAGTGAAGTGACTTAAAAATAGCACGAGCCTACGCAAGGACTAAATTAGAAATATGTACAAGCAGTAGGAATAGTTATGTAGTTTGAGTTTATAGAAGAAAATCTGGCCTTACTTGAAAGCTTCAGGGTCAAAGGAGCAATGTGACATGATTTAATCTGCTGAAATTCAAGGTTGAGCGACTGTTGGCACGGTGAATAAGCTCATTACATAACTTATGGTAACAAAAATATCCCCATCATGGTCACGTTACCAGTCACCATTTAAACCACTGGCAGGGTAATTTTAGATCTTACTGGTGGTGCTGTAGGTGGAGCTATAGTGGGCTTCAGAATGTGTTTTTGTTATATTTTAAAGAACAAATATCTTGCTTTTTTGTCAATTTGACCCTTTAGCATGCTACATGAGAATATCTACTTTGAGACTTCAAGTTTTAGAATGGAAAATAGTTAAGATAGTTGAATACATATTGATAAGCATGTATAATGGATGGATCTAAAGTGGCAAAACACCGCCATCTAGTGGTAGAAGTCCTGAACCTAAAGCCTGTCCGTCCATATGAGTGGTTGTCTTCTCACTGTGGTTCTCCCCAAGGTTTCTCTATTTGCCGATGTAGTGGGGTCTAGGGACTAGGGTCGTATTTCTCGTGTGTTTGAAATTATTTTGATTTTCAAATATGCTGTTGGCAAATTGACAATGCTCTGATGCCCGTTGAGATGATCCTGTGAAAAAGTTTATAGTAGCTCTACACAGCATTTTCAAATAATAAGGATAACAATGATGCATCAGTTTTAAATAGTGTTTTCTTGGACACTCAAAAACGCTTTTACCCTGGGGCACACTGACAGAGGCGAGGCAACCAATATGTACCATTGGTCCCTCACACCACCACCACTCATTCACGCATGCACCAGATTCATTCTAGGCAATCTGGGTGAAGTGTCTTTCCGAAGGACACAAAGACAGTTTGGCACTTTACTGTCACAGCCGTCCCATTGTGGCAGCAGGTGTTCTCTAGAAGTTTCCCATCACAGTACTAACCAGGCCCTCCCCTACATAGCTTCAGATGTCTGATGGGGTCTGACATTCACATGGAAGTAGCACCACCTAAATACCCAAAATAATTTCAGTGGATTAAAAAATGCTCATGTATTTTTCAAGCATTGAATTTAGTATAATTACAACATTAGTTTGGATCTAGCCAATCCAAGTAAAAGTCTTAATTCGTAAGTTTGTCTATGAAATTAAAACCTGAAAAGACCAACGGCTGCTGCGACTGAAAATCACAAAAATAAATGTTCCACACTGCATCCAGTTTGGTCCATTTTCAGACATTTTATGCGATGTGGACGCAACTAAAGGGAACTGGAAGTGGTTTCTCTGACTGAATAGAAACTGGTAACTGTTGAATAGAAACTGTTGTTGTAACTGGTATGAGAACTATTAGCATGGATGGAGCTAAAACAACACAAATTGCCTAATGTGGGCTCTTTAAAAAATGTATGTATATAGTTCTTGTCCTTTTATCTCATTTGAGGTTAGCAGTACACAGTATCTATGGGGAAATTGAACCATTCCGAAGGTCAGAAAGACATGTACTATTCACATGATTGGAGTGACCTAACCCACATCCACTGCCAGAGCAATGTGACCTCAAATTACCTTAACAAGTCAGAATGAGCTGCAGGTCTGTTGCTTACCTAAACAGGCAATTTGTTGTTGCATTTCTTACTGTGCTGTTTAGTAGTTATTATAGATATCTGAGAATGAAAATATGTTATGGACTGTCAAATTTATTTTAGCTAAATATTTGTTGCTTGCAATTTTAACTTTGCACTAACAGTAACCTTCTTTTGAACAGACAAAACAGCAACAGTCTCCAGAGGCTCCTCCCATAACAACTGCACGCTGCCACCACCACAAAACCACGTTTGGTCTGTCTGCTTTGTCGATCACGAAACCCAAACTGTTGAACTCACTGCCCAATGACTTCAAATACCAGGGTTCAAAGACTCAAGTTGTGGCTCAAATCAAACTAAAAGCTGTACCCTTTAGTAAATAATATATATAATATATAATTACTGTATACTTTATGGCTTTGTTCACACCTTCATGCTGCTATGTATTGATGTATATACTCAATATATACAAAGCCACATATACAACTATATATTTCTTGAACTTTAATATACTGTACATTATATATTTATATATTTATTGTGCTAAATATAGATACTTCATACTAACTTCTTTATTAGTAAGTAACTAAGTAATGTTTATTTATATAGCGCATTTTACAGACCAAGGTCACCCAAAGCGCTTCACGATGGACTACGGATAAAAAATAGCTGTTTGGCTAATTCTGGCATATTTACAGAAATGTTCATTAATATGCACTGTCCCAGTAATAAATAAATAAATAAATAAATAAATAAATAAATAAATAAATGTTCAGAGTTCAGATATTGTTCCAATCATTCTACACACGATGATGACGGAAGCGAGTCGCCGAACACACTGGACCATCAGCCCCCAATCAACACCATCCATTCACTCTCTCATTTACATTCATAGCTATTGTGCATGTTTTTAGTGGTAGGGGAAATCGGAGCACCTGGAGGAAACCTACGCAGACACGGGGAGAACACAGCGCCGCAAATGGCGAAGTGGCATGCTCTCTGCCATGCTCTCTGCCAAAACAATTTCCAAGTGGTAACTTTTGTTTGTTACTGACGTGGCAATAAAAATGACTCTGATTCTGAACATGCAAACTCCACTCAGAAAGGCCCTGTTCCGAACTGGGATTTGAACCCAGGACCTTTTTGCTGAGAAGCGAGAGTGCTATCCACTCAGCCACGGTGCCGCCCATCTATGCTAAAGTCATAGGTTTAATTTAATTAAATTTTTAGTATAACATCATTGTTCATTTATCTTGTACTGTGTGCTCCTCATTCATGCTGTTCTGTAACCGGTGATGCAACAGTGACATTTTCCCACAGTAGGACGAATAAAGGATCTCAAGTGACTGTGTGAGTGTGCACTGTGTGCTAGTATTGGAAAGTGAGAACGTCTTAAATGTCAGATAAATGTTGAAAATAATATAATTAGGATTGTATTTTACACATTTTGTATATGTTGTATGTACTGTGCTGGAGTAGTTAAAAATTAACATTTTCTTAACCTCTGTATGTGTTGCATCAGTTGCATATTTTGCTGTGACTATATATGAGGGTTTGACTGAATCCCTGTTATAAAAATGAATGCAATTATTATTGACGAACATTCGTCACAGCCGACTTCAGAAACTAACTTTTATAAATATTTTTTTAAATAAAAGTAGCAATAGAATTCAAAACGTGTTAGCCCCAAGGTCAAAAAGAGTCCTTATAATTGTTGTAATTAGGAAGGATTGGAATACTTTTCATCGCACAATAACAAATCTCAGACAGAAAAGGAGACAGAAAGAATGTGATAGTATTGCCATCATAATTTCAGACGTTCTAGTTCACCATGTAAATGAATTGGTCGTGTCTGCCCTCTAGTGACTAAATATGGAATTACGTAAACAAACGCCCACGACCAGAGATCGTTGTTCTATATCAGGGGTCGGGAACCCAAAATGTTGAAAGAGCCATAATTGACAAAAAAACTAAAAACAACATCTGTCTGGAGCCGCAAAAAAATAACAGCCTTGTATAAGGCTTTTATGAAGTTAACACAGGCTGCAAGATGTATTAGCTATATTAGCCTAATATCTAAATGACAAAGTAAAGGCTACAAATACATAATAATCATTCATGATTATCAAATGTGTGTTTTCACTGCAGCGTGTTGCACCACGCGTGTCGTGAATGACGCAACACGTGACGACTCTGCTTTAGTTTAACTTCCATTTTTTTGCCTTCATGCAATTGTAGAAATACAGTAAATCAATCTGCTTTGGGCTCAGAGGTCACATACCTGCATCACTGTCTGCTCATATCCATCACGTCACAGGCTGAAGTTTGCTGGAGCTGAATTAAAATCCTTAATGGCCTTTTCTTTCACCGTCTTTGAGAAGGTTTTGAAGTCTGAAAATAGGTGCTCTGAATTTTTGATGAATGAATCCTTCACGTAATCACCGTTTACGTCGTTTTGCGCGTCATTGTTCCTCGTGTTGCAACAAAACTTTTCATTACAAACATGAAGCAGTCCTTCCTCATTGACTGAAAGAAAATGTTAATTCTCATTCTTAGTCCAGTCTTGTTATCGACTCTTTCTCGTTTTAGCTTTGGGATGCACTTACAGTCTATGATGCACACACGCCGGTTTGTTTACAGCAGCGGCCGCATGGGGCGGGGCCGCGTGACCGCGCGTCATAGGATATGACGCACTACGTTGACAGAAATGTTGAAATTAGATATTACTTATACGTATTTTTATAGCATTTAAAAACGTAAAGATTGTTTTTTCCTTCTACAGAAACCACATTCAAACTAGAAATAAAATATAGCCCTCACACTCCATTTTCAGACATTTTTGAAAAGGCTCCAGGAGCCACTCCAGGAGCACTCAAGAGCCGCATGCGGCTCCGGAGCCGCGGGTTGCTGACCCCTGTTCTATATGTTGCCAGAGGGTGTCGCCATTTCAGTGTTTCCCTTTGAAGGTCAGGCGGAAGCTGCTGTAACAACAACCTCCTATTTACATTGAATAAACTGTAAACTGTCATCAGACTTTCAAAAGATCACAACTTTGCTTTTTAAATTTAGTTTTCAAGCCATAAGTGGTAAAACAATGGTTTAAATCACTTATACCTGCTGTAACACATTATTCTCAATCAATTAGAAAGATCATGGTGCTGGGGTCTAGTGAAATCAACCTATAACACTGAATAGTGCAAGAGGATTAAGATAGAAGATAGTGATTTTAAATTCTTAATCAACAATATTGATTAAGTTAATGAGTGGAAATCCTTATGTGGTCCTCGTTCTGTATAGCTTAGGTCCTGGATCTATATCCCGTCTGTCCGTGTGGAGCGAATCCCCCTCTCGATGTAGACCTTCTGAAGTTTATCACTTTCCCACTGAGTTTTAGAGGGGTTCTGTAAGACTAAAGACATTTATGGACATTGGTCAACTATGGACCAATACCATCTATATTTTTTGTGTATGTGTTTTTGTTAAGTCCTTTGAGATAACTAGCCCAAGCGAAAAAAAAATACATTTAAATATACTTATAGTGTATTCCATTTCTAACTAATACATTGTAAACATATTTTGTTAAATTATATTTAAATCGAGTATATTTAAAGTTTACTAATTGTGTATTTTAGAGAAGTACTCCAAATACATTTATTATTTATTATATTATAATATATTTGAAAAATAATATATTAATTTTTATTACGCTCAAAATATACCTAAAATATATTACAGATCTGTATTTTAAATATATTTCACAGGAGTATACTTAAAATGTATTTAAGAAAACTACACTTAATTTTAGTACAAGAAAAATATATCATAAATACATTACAGATTTGTATTCTAAATATATTTTATGGTAGTATACTTGAATGTAAGAGAAAATACACTTGATTTTAGTACACAGCAAATTCAATAGTGTTGGATTGACAGCTGTTGAGAGATAGAAGGAAATATATATATATATATATATATATATATATATATTTTTTTTTTTTTTTTTTAATTTACACTAAGACTAAAATAAACTATTAATATGTTGTTAATCTGGCAAAAAAGATACAAGGATCCAAACATTCAAGGATCAACAGCAAATACATTGCTGGTTCTTAACACTTCAGTAATAAATGTAGAAGATATCTTCAGCTGTCTCTCCAAACATGATCAGTTTTACTCAGCTTTAACTAAAACAGAAGCTTGACCTGACAATCCATTTTCAGATGTAAAATCTATTAGTGTTAAAATTTCACAAAACCTTTCATCATTCAGCTGTACAACAGAGTTATTTCTTTTTTTAAGAGTTGTGTTATAATATGAATAATACAAAACCCTAGCATGTGTGAAACGATCATAAACTAAACCAGAATGAATAGCTGCTAACTATGGAGGCATCCGCTCCAATGATCCGCGCCTAAAATATGATTGTCCAATCAGGTGCTGCATTCATTGCAGCTTTGAAACTATCAGCCAATCAGAACAGTTGGTCTTGCTCTTGCGCATGTAGTACTCATTTGAAGAAAAACAGCAGCTAAGGATGACGTCCTTCATGCTCGCGATTTTTACCTGCACAATAACAGCTTGAAAGTGGAGAACACCGGAATAATTCTAAAGAGTTCAGGAAGATTCAAGCAGGTAACCTCCCAGCCCGATTTAGACGACGACAATTGGATAGAAATTAAGTGTGGGTCACGAAAGGAACCCAGCAGGACAGAGGCTGCTTAAGTGCTGCTATTTGAAGTTAGCTTAAGCTTGCTAGGTTAATTTTATTTCACGATGAAATATTTATGCCTCACCGATCGTTCCTTTTCAGATGTATTTCAAGAACTTGTTTTTTTTTTCCTCCTGGGTAAAATATTTGGGCCATAGATGACACGTGTGTCGCTGCAAATGGCGACTGGTCTGAAGAAACATCTTGTCAGGTGAGACATACAGAACAGGGTATGTTTGCTTTTGCTAATGTTATGTTTGGGTCTATCAAACGTATGCTTTTTATTTTTAAAGTTGGGCTATATTAACTTGTAATGAAAACCCTACTCGGGTTTTAAACCTATGCTTTGCATTGAAAATATTAAACTCTTTCCATACATTGTTTTCTAGGCAAAGAAAAATCTCCAAAAAATAGAGAGACTGCAAGTACAAGAAACGTAATTGAGGGACAAAAAAAAACACTTTCTCAAAAAAGAAATCTTGAACAATCTGAGGATCTGTTTGGCAGCAGTTCAGAGGAGCGTTTGTCACCTGTCCGCATGGTAAGTCTAATTTGTTGTGATGTTAATGATTCAATATACTGACCTGTGGTATTATAAAGTATATCCATTTTCTTTATTCTCAGTCAAAGAAGAGAAGGCTATGTGTATGGCCTCAACAATTCTCCCCACAAGCAAGCAGTTCTGATGAAACCCACATAGAGCCCACATCATTCAGACCATGTATGTATTTTGACATGCATATATACATACATCATTTACAACATGTGTTATACTTAACAGGAGGAAAATTTTGATTGTGTGGCTTCAGTTGTGAGGGAGGCAAATGGATTCATTCCCAGTTATACTGCAGCGCCTACCATGGAAGAGATAATTTCATGTCTTCGTGGTAAGTTTAGTGGCTTATCAAAATGTAACCTATATTGTTCATAATGTTTGCAAGTAAGTAATCTTTATTTATATACCGCCTTTTAACTGCAGATCTGAGTTTCAAAGCGGTTTACAATTGCATTAATGCATTAAGGAAATTTAATTTACTTTTTATTTTTGAAGAACTGCCTGAAACCTTAAAATTAATCAAGGAGTGTGTGGAGGGTTAGGGTTACTGCTCACTTTTATGTCATCCCACAGCACTTCTTGCCTGGAAACAATGTTAGCGTTTCAAAAATGGCTTTTCCTGAATCGAATTTGCATGTTTTTCACACAGGAATTAGCTGTCCTTGTTTTCACGAGGGAGATATTAGCAACATCAGCCCGAACTGGAAAATCAGGAAGAAGGGAAAGGGTGAGGCATCAACTTGATGCTACAAAAGTGCAACCCATAACAGGTGAGTGACCAAATCTGATCTGTGGTCAGATCTTTTGCACAATAAGTATGAATGTAAATGAGAGAGTGAATGGTGTTGATTGGGGGCTGATGCGCCAGTGTGTTCGGCAACTTGCCTCCGTCATCACCGTCATTGTAAAGCGCTTTGGATGACCTTGGTCTGTAAAATGCTCTAATAAATATATATATATATATATATATGACTTACTATATTTACAAAACAGATTTGAATTAATATTTTTTTCTTTTTCTTTTTTTTTGGCAGATGCAGTTTCCGAGGTTCGTGCAGCACTAAGACGGAAGTGCAAAAATGAGCAGTTCTGCCAAAAGAAGGAATGAATACTTTTATGTATACACTGTGTGTATGTTAGCTAGTTCCGGGGAAACGGCGACATGAGCGGCGACCGCATCCGGTGCCTGTGTTTTGCTGGTGATTCAGGCTAAACTTGGAGGTCGTTTAGGTCCGTTTCAAGTTCTCTGCTGTTGACTATATGCCTCAAGTAAAGCACACACCTCTTGTTCATGCTCCTCAAAGTGACAAGTGTGAGCGAGCGTCTGTTTTTGTGAAAAAGCATTAGACTCTCATGTCAAATCAATGTTAAAAACACATCATATAGGGCTATTCCTTACCATTTTACGACCATTCTCCCTATAAATATTGAATTCTACCCCAGTTGGAATAAGTTCAAAGACAATAGTTGATGGTTTTAAATAGTTTGTCTTTGAAATACCTCAATTTAAAGCTATTAATGAGTTCTGTCCAGTCGGTGTTTTCAAGTTGATTTGACGCAAGAGCCGGACTGTGTTTGTTTGGGGTTTTTTTTTCACAAAAACAGACACTCGCTCACACACTTGTCACCCTGAGGAGCTTAAACAAGAGGAGTGTGTCCTTTACTTGAGGCATTTGGTCGACAGCAGAGAACTTGAAACTGATCAGAAACTTCCTCCAGGAATTACTGGCGATAGACAGGGACTGAATGCGGTCGACAACTTGGACGTGAGATGTATATAAGATTTTTTTTTTTTTTTTAATATGCATTTTATTTGAGTAAATAGTAAACAACTATTTTTGTAAAGAAACACTGTTGTTGCAAATTTTATGTGCAAGCGCATAATAAAGTTTATGTTGCATTGTATCAATGATTTGTTGTTTTTTATCTGTATAATACAGAAAAATGTTTTTAAATATATTTTTATATATACTGTAAGTTAATTGAAAATATACTGTAAGTTAACTGCAAGTATGTTATGAATATACTTGAAGTTTCATAGAAATGTATTACTCAATCATGAATTAAATACCCAAAAAACAAGTATACTTAAAGTATAATAAGTGCACTTAAAGTTGTTCCACTTTAGTACACATTAGTATATTAATTATACTTTCAATTTACTTTAAGTTCTATTTAAATTCAACTTAAATCTATTAAGCACAAAATAAGTTGTTTCAAAATAGCACACTTAAAGTTTATTTGACTGTTATTTCTGAAATATATTTAGTATGCTAAATTTCAGTATACTAAGTATATTTTTTTTTCACCTGGGAGAGCAATACAAGAATACATTGAATTGAATTGAATTATGGTTACAAGCTGATTTTAAATATCACACCCCTTCAAACTGTAAGATAATCCTTTGACCGGCAGACCTTGTCACATGACAAGTGTTTCATTGGAAAATAACATACAATTGCTTAAAAAACGGGTCACTGTATTCAGTATTTGCAAGCATTTTACCAAGTGGGAGCAAGATCATATATTAATATATATATATATATATATATTACTATTTTATTGAATTTTACACAAAAGAGTAACAAAACAAAGCAGACCAAGTACAGCTAACTTCTTCACATTGAATTCAATAATTACTGAAATTATAGAGAGCAAGTTTTTTATTGTTGTGGCATTTTTAAACTTAAAAACTGGGGTGCCATATTTCTAACAAAAATGGAACCGTGATGATTGATCCACTATATTCGTTCGGAAAAAGTTTAGAATTGATCAGCTCTGTATGATCCAGGAACCTCAACCTTTAAGATAGGATAAGATAAGATATACCTTTTTTCGTCTCACAGTGGAGAAATTTCAGTGTCATTGTTGTGCACATTACAGCAAAGAAATAAGGACATGAGAGCACTCAGATTGCACACATCAAACAGTCTATTATTTAAGATAATAGACAATGTAATCAAAATAAGAAAATAAGATAGTAAAATATAATAAAATAAAATAAACTCTGGAGCTATCATTGCACATGGTTCAAAAGTATTTACAGATGTGTATATTGTACTTTAGCAGCGGAGAATATGAGCAGAATAAACATCAGAATTAATATCAACAGGTAAGGTGACTAGTGAATGACAGAAATATCAGATGGATGGATAATGCAGTATTAATAATAACGGGTAAAGTGACAACATTTATGGACACTGGTCATCCGCCCCTTATGGACCAATGGCTTTATGTGTTTTTGATCATTGCATTTCTTCTGTTTGAACTGTTGGATTCTCTGATCTATGTTGGTGAATTCAACGGCTTTGTTAAGTCCTCCGTGATAACTACTGTTGTGATTTAAGGCAATACAAAAATAAATTGAATAGAATAGCCTATCCATCCATTTTGATCAATATCTGGGTCACAGGGGTATAGTGTGAATGCTTGTATTGTGCTCTATACAAATAAACGTGTCAGGCCTACTTCTTTTGCACTTACCATTCTAAAAGACCACTCTGCTTGAAGACTATAGATTCACCTTGCTTGTTGTTGCTCCTATTCAAAGGGGGAGGAGAAGCACCTGCATAAACATAGATGTAAATGTGCTTGAGAGGCAGATTATCACCTCTGTGAATAGACTGACTGGCAGAGCACCTGATTATTCACACAACTGTTCATTGTAAGTCAATAAACAGGACAACCACCATTACATCCATACCCTTTCTATTCTGCAGTCTGGGGAAAATGGTCAAGTTTAGACTAACGATGGAGTTTTTCTTTTAGCCAGGTACACTGACTATAGACTGGTAAAAGGAGGAAGTTTAAAAGTTAGTGTATCTTACTCCCCTTGAATGATCAAATGTACATTGTATTTCATAAAAGACGTAATATCATACAAATAATGTGATAGTACAAGGTAATTGTGCTTTGTTTGGAACCAAATTGTATGCTAAATCTGATGAGGATTGAGTTGATGATTGTTCATAATTCAATAATGTAGTCATTGGATTGCTGAATGACATTCAGTTCAAACGGGAATATAGCTTGAATTAATTGAACATAGAACTGGAAAAAACTGGTCATACTGGATAAAACCAAGATCAACTTGAAAAATGTGATATGGATATCCCCTCCACATCATTTACAATTAACATAAATTCTAAGTATTTGTGTCAGGAATGAACCAGACAGAGTTTGTGTACAGCCCTATATCACAACAGAAGTTGTCTCAGAGTTTACAAAGTTGTTAATACACCAACAACAGAACAGAGAATCCAACAGAAATACAATAATAACAAACACATAGATTCAATTGACCCATAGGGAGCAGGATGATCAATCTCCACATCAAGTTCCATTTCTTTGTGCAAGTATCTGTCATTGACTTTCGTACATATTTGTCCATCGCTGTCATATGAAATTACTGTCAGGTTCACCACAAGAAATAGTGTATTTCAAATAATCTATGGAGTTCATATAGCTCATCACTAGTTTTCACAGGCACATCATTTTTGCCTCTGTCAATCTTTTAAGCCTCTTTCTCTGATGGAAAATATAATTTCAGATATCCATTCTCACTTAGCCATGCTATACTATAAATGCAGTCACTTTTCAACAAAGTTCTCAGCCCAAATTTCTGTCAAGTTTACAAAATATGTTTCACAAGATGAAGACTGCACGATGTGGCCTGAATGAATAATAACCCAAATGACCAAATGGATAGACATTGTGGGCATAGACAGTGACAGACAAGAGCATCTTTACGAGATAACTCAGCCGCAGCAGCACTCAAGTTACTTTCACATGTTTCTGATGTTTGCTTCGTGTTTTTACTGCACTCCTGGCCTCCTGACCCCCAGTCTACGTGGCGTCGGCGTCAACAAGCGTCCTAACGATGTGTGAACTGTTGGGCATGTCGTGACAATGGCGCCTTTGAAACAGGTGCATGAAGTGGCCCCCAGAGACCCCCAAAGGAAGTCGAGCCACAAGCACCATGCGTTCGTCCCCAGGCCTGCCTCAGAGAGAACTGATTAAGAATAAATTGCCATGAAAAACTGACGCGTAATTATGTGCGCGCTACATGGTTTGCATATGGGTCTATGGCTTGCGTTATATTAATGATGAATCCTGGATTTATAGCGTGTCCAAGGTTTCACATCTTTCTCTCACTGTTTTTTAATTCGTTACTTGTCTATGCAGGAGAAAGTGTAGTGATGATCCGGTCATTTAAAGACAATGATCGATCCGCCTCCTATATGAAACAATTACTCCTATGTGTTTGTTATTATTGCGTTTCCTGTTTTATTTGTACTGTTTTAATTTCTGATCAGTTGTTAGCGAACTGTGTAAAGTCCCCCGAGGCTTCTGTGATTTAAGGCTATGTACAAATATTGAATTTCATTGAAGAATAATAATGTAATAAAACAACCATGCACCGTTTTACCTAATATCTACTAAGTATTTTACCCACCTGTCATCAATAACTTTGCAGATATCTTTGTGATTCGACCGCTGTTAGATAGGAACTTGTCATACATTTTCAGGATTTTTTTTAGCTGTTTACATTGGAAATGCTGCCTCCCCATGTTTTGTCCACATCAGAGTTGCTTCATATGGCACAAACATGTATCGGATCTTCTTTGATGTGAGACCATGGAAAGAATTGTACACAATCTGAACTGAGCCACCGGAAGCCAGTGCAGAGACCTGAGACCAGACCTAATGTTGCAGCCTTAAGTTCAACTACCACGTTTTCACATAGATAATAAAGCTTGCACAATGACAGTACTATCCCAGTCCTAATTAAGTCGATTTTCCTCTCGGCATGTGGTCTGCGCTTTTGGCAGCTCACGTCCCCCGGAGGCGCCCAGAAAAAGGCCAAAATCCTCGAATCATCATATTGTCCCTGTCAGCGAGGTCAATAATACCTGGAGTCCTGCTGTGACCAAAGCTTGTGTCGCGAATAGTTCCTTGTTTGTCCTCATCGTCCCACAGAGAGCATTAATTGAGATTAGCATGTTAGGTTAGTATTTTGGGTTAGCATGTTAGGTTAGCATTTTGGGTTAGCATGTTAGGTTAGCATTTTGGGTTAGCATGTTAGGTTAGCATTTTGGGTTAGCATGTTAGGTTAGCATTTTGGGTTAGCATGTTAGGTTAGTATTTTGGGTTAGCATGTTAGGTTAGTATTTTGGGTTAGCATGTTAGGTTAGTATTTTGGGTTAGCATGTTAGGTTAGCATTTTGGGTTAGCATGTTAGGTTAGTATTTTGGGTTAGCATGTTAGGTTAGTATTTTGGGTTAGCATGTTAGGTTAGCATTTTGGGTTAGCATGTTAGGTTAGCATTTTGGGTTAGCATGTTAGGTTAGCATTTTAGATTAGCTTATCGCGTTTAGCTAACCGCGCGTTAAATGCTAACAGTGTGTCTTCTAACCAAAGTGACTCTGCCTAAATTTTGGGAGTAAGTTTACTACAATTCAAGAATATGGTTGTGCTTATGTGTTGGATGTAGGGTTTTGTTCATTAATTCATATATGTATTATTAATAGGCAGAGAAGTCAGAAGTTTCAGCTGGAAATTTTGACGCCAAATCCAGGCGTCATTTTGGATCCGGTGTAAGTAAGTAAGGAAGTAAGTAAGTAAGTAGCTAATCTGTATTTATATACCGCCTTTCATACCCCAGAGTCACAAAGCGGTTTACAATTGTTATTTTTGAGGTATTTGTCTCTCACTCCACACAAAGATGGGAGCGGAGTCGCCAGTACATGAGGCACATGCCAGACCTATTGTACATGTTTTTAGTGGTAGGGGAAACCGGAGTACCCGGAGGAAACCTTCGCAGACACGGGGAGAACATGCAAACTCAACTCAGAAAGGCCCTGGTCCGACCGGGAATCAAACCCAGGACCTTCTTGCTGAGTGGCGAGAGTGCTATCCACTCAGCCACCATGCCGCCATACCGGTGTGACGGTATGACAACGTTTTATTGTCTTATTTATTGCATTTCATGACACAAAACAAGTGCAGTAGGTCAATTAAAGTTAGGGCACCTAACTTTTTACCTTCAATGAATTATATAATGTCCGTTATCATCTGTATTCTCCTATTTTGGCTCTGTGAGTCAGTATTTGACTTTTAGGGATTCGAGCTGAATGGATTAGGGTGGTCCTCAGTTTAAACAAAAATAAATAAATAATGAGAGCGAGGAAGTAGTAAGATAGAATGCGTTACATAGTTGCGTTTGACCCTGTATTACCTTATCACTAAGTATAAACAAAAAACAGCTGTTATTTGAAATTGCATCACCCCCATGTTATTATAATAGATCCATGCATCACCCACATGCAAATAGTCATTTGGAGAAAAACAGGCAAGTTCCATGTGATGACAAGGATTGTTTATCTATCTTTTTTGTGTACCAGTAATTTCTCGTTGAGCTAATCATCTCAAATCTATTGCTTACAACAATACATGTCAAAGATTGTAACTAGAAGGTATTAAACAGACTATCATGGTCATTAAACCACTCGAACACGCTCTGATTATAACACACAAAACTCTTGATCTTGGTTGATGACGTTATAAACCTTGAGTGAAGAGGTGCCTGTGATAGTTGAGGCGTGAAATGGCACAATTAGATTTGCGCTTTGATGCAACTTTTGGCACATAAGGCACCTGTGGAGAGAGGGGACGAGGGTCAGGGGAGGGTGTGTGGGTGTGGGTGGGGGGTTGTCTAGAGGCGGGGACTGGACACTGGCCCATCCTCTGCCTGCTTTATTAGGGGGCTCGATTCTCCCACTCAAGACATTCAATCAGTGCCTTTGAGTTGCCTGCTGAGAGAAGAGAACCACATACAGAGCACTGCAAGGAGTTTTTCACAGCTTTGCAAAGTTTTATCCTCTGAGGAAACTTCCAAGATGCCTCGCTCATTCCTCGTCAAGAAATATTACAGCAACAAGAAACCATGCTACAGAGAAAGTCATCTAGACAGCCATGCAGGTATGTTTATACTTATACAAACATATGTATTTATCATGTGTAGTGTATAAAAGAAACATTACACATTGATCTAAATTGGTTTGTATACCAGATACTTGATATAGTCTATGCTTTACTGTACTGCACTTCTGGTTAGCTACTATACTGCATGTTGTTGCAATGGCACTCGTGGAATCTAAACTGGTTACTCTTAAATTTTGTAGTAATCTCATTGGTTCTGTACAAACAACTCACTCAAAAGTACTGGTAATCCATAGTAATGTATTGCATATATGCTGCTATGTTATAATATATAACAAGTTCCTTGCCTTTTATATATTTAGGATAGTATGATCATAAAATTGAGTTGCAAGTTGTTTTGGATGGTGTTATTTAGTTTTTTAACTGTATCTTGTATCCTTTGTTTTTTTTAGCTTATATTCCCGAAAGCTTCCCAAGAGCCGAGCTTCCACCTGGAGACTCATCCGCTCTCACCTGCTATCCAGTCTTTTCCTTTTTCAACCACATGGACAGCCTGTCTCTGCCACCCTCACCTACCACTGCTGCATCCCCCCCTCTTCCTCCTTCTCCCCTGGGCCCAGTGGATCTGAGCAGTTCTCCATCCTGCAGCAGTGGTGATGAAGAAGAAGACGGAGGTCGCACTTCAGACCCTCCCAGCCCAGAAACCCTTCACCCCATGTTCCATTGCATGTACTGCAGTAAGAGCTACAACAGCCTCTCCACACTGTCCAACCATCAGATGACCCAGCACCAGCACAGCACTGTTGAAATCTCGGCGCGACCAATTTTCCATTGCAAACACTGCACTAAGGAATATACCAGCCTTGGTGCGCTGAAGATGCACATTCGCTCACACACACTCCCGTGCGTTTGTCCCACGTGTGGAAAGGCCTTCTCCAGGCCGTGGCTGCTCCGGGGACACATTCGCACTCATACAGGTTTGTACAACTTATCAAAAGTCTCAAATCAGACAAGATCTCAAACACAAGCAACATTCACTAGTTTTCACATACATGATTCTGTTTAATTCTTAAGACTCTTCCCTACAACTTAATGATAATAATTAATTAATCAAGCTGTGGCTTGATTTGCTCATATAGGCTCTTATCAGAATAAACAGCCTCAATAATCCTGTTCAATAACAGAGAATAACCCCTTGGGTTACCATTGGAAAGTATTATTATCTTTTTGTATATTGTCCAACAAAGAGTAGTCATAAATCATCACAGTGGTTAAAAAAGTGTTGGTGTTAGAATGGGGGCAGCACCACTTTGAATTGACTGCACCTAACTCATACAGCCTCATTAATAGCCATAGCCTAATCCTATGCATATGTGGTTAAGGTAGCATTCATATTATTTGCAAGACAAAGGTGACAGGGCAGGTCTCTTGTTTTGCTGCAATTCCCGTACTAACAGTTTTGCCTCGTTTTTTCTGTTCCTCCTAGGTGAGCGTCCATTCTCCTGCCAGCACTGTAACAGGGCATTTGCAGATCGCTCTAACCTTCGCGCTCACCTGCAAACCCACTCAGAGGTGAAGAAGTACCAGTGCGGCTCCTGCTCTCGGACCTTCAGCCGGATGTCCCTTCTGCACAAACACAACGCATCGGGATGCTGCTCCACGCACTGATCTGACATTCTTTGAGTGAGATGGCAAAAGTCCACTCAATTTATAAACATTTTTGGATGATGTTGAAGAGGAGTTTTGACCATGTTATAGCTACTTTTCCTTGTATCATTCACACACTCAAAGTTGTTATTTGTACATCTTCTGACAACAACCACAGCAGGATTGCTACTCTTTTTTTTTCTTGTCATTCACCAATCCCAAAATGTGCCTTTTTTGACTTCCATCCCGGTCTGTGTGAAATATGTGATTGATTTACGGGCAGCAAAAGACATGCAGTTAATTCCTCTGAAACCCGTCTGGTGCCGGCCGGTCCGGGACCCCTGGCCACGCTGCAGCTGCTGGGGTGTGTTTAGTGTGTACGGGGCTTGTCATTCCTCACCATGCGATACATACATGGCAAGTGTATATGGCCAACTGTGTGTGGGGACAGCTGCCTTTTGCACTGCAGACAAGTGGAGGCAGGGTGCTGATAGACAGTTTAGCTTTGACCTCGACAACAGCTTCCAATTTCGTCTAGATTATGCAAAACTGCACACCTTATTCCCCTCCATCTGCCTGGACATCGACCAAACACCAGTGTGCCTTTGCTTTTTAATGTACATTGTGCTGTTTTTACATTTTAATCTCAAGGCAGAATGAGAACTTTTTGCCATTGCTTGTATTTTTCATGTAAATAAAGATCTTTTTTATATGCTAACTCTTTTGTCTTCAATGTTAATAGGTCTTTCAGCAGCTTTTGTGATTTATTTAATGAGCTCTTACAGACAGACATGATGGTGCGTGAATGGGACGCTGCTATTGCATGTTGGTTCAGATGAGGGGTGCAGGTTTGTGTGATGTTGAGTGATAAGACGGAGCACCTGCACACACCTGCCCAGCTGTCCATAAAGAGCCCAGGTACAGGTGGGTCACTGCAAAACAAATGGACAAACGGATGTACTTTATCAATAGTGAAACTCTCACATATGCCCTGGTAATTGTTTAGATAGCCCAACAATGGTCCCTGTAGTGCTTAAGGTAAAAAAGGAAGTGAAAAGCTTATTAATCAAAAAATGTTAACGGTGTATTGTACAACATTATGACCTCCTATTGATCTATTTGAAATGTGTTCGATATAAAACATTCAATTACAGATGTTGTTTCTGCTCAAAAGTGAGGTCTCAAATGTAGAAGAAAAATATAATGCCATACTAGGCAACAATATTGACAAAATAACAATATTTACTGTAGATAGATCCAAAACCAAGCGCATAGCCTCCACCAGGAATAGTTGCAATAATTACTGTTCTGTCCACTACCTCTTCATGATTATTTTATCTCTGAAATTGGCTGATTTCAATAATCGAAGAGTTTTGATTAATCAATGCTGGTTGTCATATGTACCTGGATTTTAATTTTTTCCCCCCAAGAGAAGAATCTTTTTCCCATTATTTGATTAGTTTAATTTGATCAGTCAGCTCAGGCGAGGTTATAAACATTTAAACCAGACAAACACCAGTGTAAAGATAGTTTCAAGAGCAGTAATAATAATTGAAGGGTTACAGTTACAGAAGGCAAGGCAAGGCAATTTGAACTTTAGGCAATTCACCCAAAGTGCACATGTAAGGCTGTAATTAATGATTATTTTGATTAATCAATTACTTCCCAAAAGGGTGGTAAATATGGGATTCTTTAAATACATTTGTTCAAAACAAAGATCCAGTGATGCCCCTGGAGAACATCTTCTTGGAGATAACTTGATTACATATTGGGTTGTTTGGATGAGAATTCTTGTCAACACATTTTCATTTCATTCTCTAGTCATTATAGAATTATTAGAGTCATAAAACCTTTTACCAGCTTTTTCAAAGTCCATGTAAGGTTCAAAACTATTTCAATCAATCAGTTGTGATTAACTTGTTACAGCCCTCAAATAAATCCATTAAATGTAGTGGTAGCAATAGTACATGTGTTCATTAACCTTGTAGGAACTTGTGGAGGAAGTCCCCTTGCTGCAAATGCACATATGGCAACAATATGTCCACAGTCCTGGAGCGCTGGCCCCTGACCTCCACTCAGACGCCAGTGTGTCTTGAGGTAACAGTGCATTTCCTTCAATAGCTCAGAGTGCCAGAGGTGTTGGAGGGGGGACTGCTGGGGAGTCACTGGGAGTCAAATTGCATGACTCGTCTTGTTCAGGGTAAACAGCAATGCAACCCTCGCCCACACTCCTCATGATGTCATAATAAGTGGTGGATAATTTTCTAAAATGAGCTAAAGTGAGGGTGAATCAATCAGTTATGGTGAGGAGTTGGATCTCATATAACAGCTAGGCTATTTAATACACTAACACATACTGTAGGTGTGATGCATGTATTTAAGATTTGAGCTTGTTTTCCCTAGTTTGGCAACTCTCACAACTCTGGGAAACTAAAATATGAAAGACCCATTTGTTATAATGTTGATAATTGGTATAATCATCAACATTATAACAAACAATGTCTTGACATATGTCAAGACATTGATGTTCAGGGGGATGAATTATAACATAATGAGAGACATTGATATATATTTAAAAAGCATTATGTAAGTATTTGACAACAAAATGATAACTTTAAATTTTAAATGAGTTTGGATATTGTTTTCTGGTGGATGTTTTGGTTTGTATTGAACCAAAATGAAACCAGAAAGAGTTGGAGAAGGTGTGTAACCCAATAATTTATATGCCCCTTTATAGCTTTGTAAAAGTAAAATTTTGTGAACAAATCAGACCACACCATGTCGTCTTTATCTATTTAGAATTTTTTTTTATTTAACAAGAAGAAGAAGGAGCCCTGTTAGTCACTTCGCTTTGGGCTGAAAGTTGATTTGCTGAGTCAGGATGGTCCTCTATTCTTACTCTTACTCTAGTCTGGAAAAGCTGTTCCAAAGATGAGACAGGCCCAAAGTGAAGACTGCTTTGAGATGTATTTTATTACATAGAAGGGAACTTTAATAACACTTTTAAGCTATTATGTTAAAGCTGAACTCATCAGTACAACTGTAGGTAGAAGCCAGGGATTTTCCACTTAATGTTTTGTATCTGAAGGGTAAACTATCGTTGCAGGTGCTTGGACGAGGACCTGGATTCCTCTGGTTTAAAATCAAACATGCTGCAAGTCTTTGGTGTCTCTTTACCAACAATGATATGTCTTCTGCTGTGACACGATATCAGACCGCCGCATCTTTTGTCATATTCTTCAATAGTACATAGATCAATTTGGCTGTGCTATGGTTGTGAAAATTAGATACACCAGCTTTAAGTAAAGGCCCACATATTATTGACCTCATCCCACTCAATTATTGTCACAAATAAGGCTGTTATCTTTCTTGAATGCATTTTGAAATTTAAGTCTGGTGCGTACCTTGCGGGGACATTTTTTGGTTGGCAGCGCGTGGGAGGCCATCTATCACTGTGCCGCTTGAAGGCAATGAGATCATGCTCCTGTCACCTGTCTATTGCAGTGTGTGATGTGAGTGTCGTCTCCTCAAAGTGTTTTAATGTCACGCACCAGCCCCTGACTAATGGGACATTCCACAGCCATTAGTGACAGACATTCAATACTGATGGCTAACGAGTGGTGGCTAGCTGCTGTGATACCCTTGAGTCAAAAAAAGTCAAATTCAAATAAATTTATCCAACAATAATTTGGGGAACTCCTTGAATGGGTGTGGAGAGCTGCAATGCTAATTCCCGAGAGGGCTGAAGATGATAATAAGTTCCCAATGTCACTTTTATGTTCAGACGTAATGCAATATTTATCTATAATTTAGTTAATATATTTTAAAGTGTGTGAGTCTTGGAAAAAATAAAACAGAAAAATGTACACTTTCAAAGTGTAAGATTTTTGTTTTGGTCCATCTAAATGTTGTCAATTTGCATGAAATTATAAAAATTTAACCGAATAGAAAAACGTATAACTTATGATTACAGATAGTATACTATTGTATATCCAACTATTATAGATAGTAGTACATTTTACGCTGACAGGGTTGAAATTGAGTCACTGGAGAATATTCTAATAGCTATCTTTTGCTTTTTAACTTTCATAATACAATCTGTAATGCCGTTGCGGTTGTGATTTTTAAAATTAGAATTTTGAAAATGTACAATACAAATACAGTAGTGTTGGTCAAGCCCAGAGTGCAGACTCCAGGAGGGGGGCAGCTCACATCAGCCCCCTGCGGTCCTGGGTCAGAGGGGAGAGGATGCACCATAAAAGGACAATTAAACAGACAGGATTTGTTTGATGCGTTCCAGACGTAACCTTTTAGATGCACTAAAATACAATTAACAATTCTGCTTCTACTAAAGTACGGCATTAGCCGGCGTGCAGCGGCTCAGTGGTTATCACCCCCAGCAGGAGGACAATCCTGCACCAGACAATAGAGGAGCAGAGGAGTTCTTTCTACAACAAACTCTAACACAATCTGAAATTACTCCACTGTGGGGAAAATAAAGGATCTCCCACATTGAACGATACAGGACCACACTCATACCGCTGTAAAACTCCCCTATATCAGATATGGGGGACTTGAAAAGTATACTGTGTTTGTACTAACAGAATGAGTGTGTAAGAAAAAGCCCTATTGATCCTTACTTTTCTGTTTGAAAAAGCTGATCTAAAGATGTGGCCAAAAAAGCATCAACAACAAGAAGGAGGAACTCTCTTGTTAACTTAATTTCATTGCATAGTTACTTTTTGTGTGTAGGTGCCCCTGTTTTAATAATACATTTTGTTTAATGCCCCAGCAAAAGCCCCATATTATGTAAGGGGGAATCTTAATCAAAAAGTGCTTTTGGTAATAAAAGCTTCTTTGGTTTATCTGATATATACCTGTGACAGAGGCCAAGAAATCAAGTGTCAACACCCTCTGCAGTTTCAAACTCTGGTACACTGTCTTAAATCTGTAAAATCTGCAGACGTGGACCTGTCCTTCACAACCCCACTGCCAGCCTTTCTTACCTCATGACCTGCAGT